TCATACTGCCTCTTTCAGATCCACCATGGCTGTTAGGAATATAAGTCACCTAACAGATATTTGGGTTGGAAATATATAAACCAGGATAGATATTTTAATACTGTCTCTTTAAGAAAATGCAAAAAAGTATAATTGGGTGTGGTTTCTCAAACGGCCATAAGATGGAGCCAGAAACCTGGGTTGTTTAGTCTTAGTCTTAGTCTCAGAAGAGAGTGTGTCTCAGTGAGTCTCTGTTTTCCTTCTGTTGGAGAGTATTGTCATTACTTCTAAATGACTGCTATTCATGGATTTGATGTAAGTCTGTTACTGAACTGTTTTTGACACTGGACTTTGTTATTGGATTATCCCTGGACTGAAAACTGACTGATCTTATCTGTGAATGACTTTGGACTGCTTATCTTGAACTTTGCTTACACGTTTCTGAAAGTAAAAACCTACATTTAATGTACAGTGTATCTGTGTGCTGTGTGTGTATTATTCAACAGTTCTCTCAATACGTCTCTCTGTATGTGCTCATTCTCCTAACGGGGAATTACCTCAACAATGACCATCATTTTAAAAAGAGATTGGACATCCATTTGTAATGGTATAGAGCTTCCTGCTTGAGCAAAGAGTTGGACCCCCCCAAGGTCCTTTCCAACTCTTAAACTGTTATTCTGCTATTCTGTTCGTCCCAGTGTCATCCTTTATAAACAATGGGTATTAGGGTGGCCTCTTCTCCTTTTTCTGCTGATCACTTCTGGCATACTTGACTTTTTGAGTGAGTCAGCTTGCATGACATGTCCAAAATATGATATACTTTGTTTGGCAATCTTGGCTTCAAGTGATATATTTGGTGAGGTTCAGTTTAGGATTTCTTTGTGATTTTTGCAGTCCACTAGATGCGTAACAGTCATCTCCAACACCTGAGGTGGTATTCAGCAGGTTCTGACCAGTTCTGGAGAACCGGTAGTGGAAATTTTGAGTAGTTTGGAGAACCACAAAATACCATCTCTGATTGGCCCCACCCCTATCTATTGTCTGCCTCCTGAGTCCCAGCTGATCGGCTGGTTTTTCTTTAGTTGCCCTGCACAGGAGAACAGAGCTGGAAAGCAGGTTAGTGGGGTGAGGAAGGAATGGGGATTTTGCAGTAACCTTCCCCCTGGAGTGAGGTGGGA